GTGAACGGGGTGGGGGGGCCACAGTTGCAAGGGACCTTTTTAACAGAAGAGAAAAGCTAGTCTTACAGAGGTTATCTAAGTTATTACAGTGGGAAAGCTTGAATTTGGACTAGGTGTCCTGATTCCAAATTCAGGTGCCTTCTACGAAGAGAAACTCGTATCACCTGCAATGATTTCTTTAAAGGCAAGAATGAGGACAACAGAAGAAAATATAAGAAATTCTTCCCCTTTCTGTATATAGCCGAGTGTGCTGTGTGACTGTGAGTTTCTCCACTAGTAGCTGATGTTTTATACTCTTCTGTTTGGGGATGTGCTGCCTGGTGATGGTTGGGATGAATATTTGGGTCTTGGAAGTTATACCATTATCACTAGGTTAAAGCCAGAGGGGTCCATTCTGAAGCTATCTGTAAATCTGAAGTGAGTCCCTTTTAACTCCAGTATTTTCTATCCTTGAACCTGATCCAACCTCTGAAAGAGATGTGCTTGGTGTCCTAGTTGGCACCATGTCTGATATATGTTACAAGTGATGTACACTTCAGTAATTAGGTGACCATTTGGCCAATCAGTTTGGCCAGAGTTTTAAAAATAGTAATAAAAAAAAAAGCCGAATGCAGGGATAAATTTGGGCAACAGTGTGTGGCGATTTTGTACACAGCCTGTGTGCCTTGGCCCAGGTCCTCATTCTGGGGTTTGCAGCGGGGCATTCTGGTGACGTGACTTTGACTTCTCATTGGCAGCCCCTCCAGGGTAGGACAGAAGCCAAGCCCGCCAGGCAGTGAATCCCTGGGGCCTTCTCTCATCATGTTTGTTGTTCTGACATTTTAGAAGTAGCCCCATTCACTACATGATCTCACACTCCTGTCTTGGCAGCTGGATTTAGGATTTTCTTTCTTATTTAAAAATATGTATGTTGGATATAATTTATATAAATCCCAGATCGTACGTGTTTAGTTAGCTAAATTGTGACCGCTGGATGCACCCAGGTAGCCAGTATCCAAAACAAGATATAGGACATTTTTATCACTCCAGAAAATTTCTTTATCTCTTCCTAGCCAGTCCCCACTCCACACCTTCCCCCGCAGAACAGGGAGCTACTCTCCTGATTTCTACCACCGGGGTTGTTTGTTCTTGAACTGCATGGAAGTGGAATCACAGTGCCTGGCTTGTTTTGTTCAACGTAGTGTCTTTGAACTTCACGTCGTTGTTGTGCATCAGCAGTTGGTTCCTTTTTATTGCTGGAAATATCCCACTGTTTGAAAATACCACAGTTTGTTTATGTGTTCCCCTGTTGTTAGTTATTTGAGCTCTTTTCGTTTTTGGTCTAATTTGAATTAAGGTGATATAAACATTCTACAAGTCCTTTTGTGGGCGGTTGCATTTATTTCTCTAGGTGTATTCCTAGGAATGGAATTGTAAATCATCAAGTAGGTGTATATTCAGATTTTTTGCAGTTTTTTAAATAAACAATTTATTTTAGAATAGTTTTAGATTCGCAGAGATATTGCAAAGCTAGTACAGAGAGTTCCCGTGTACCCCACACCCAGCTTCCTCTGTTGTTGACATCTTACACTGGTGTGGTACATTCGTCACAATTAAAGAACCAAGACTGATAACATTATTGTCAACAGAAGTCTATATTCTTCAAATTTCTTTAGTTTTTACCTAATGTCCTTTTTCTGTTCATGAACCCGTCCTAGGGCACCACATTGCATTTACGTGTCCTGTCTCCTTGGGCTCCTCCTGGCTGTGACGGTTTCCTCAGACTTTCCCTGATTTTGATGACCTAGACTGTTTTGAAGAGTCCTGGTCAGATATTTTGTAGAATGTACCTCAGTTGGGATTGTCTGATGTTTTCTCATGATTAGACTGAGGTTATTATGGGTTTGGGGGAGGAAGACCACAGAGTAAAGTGCCATTTTCATCACATCATATCAAGGGTACTTGCCATCAACATGACCCATCACTGGTGTTAACCTTGTTCACCTCGGTGAGGTCGTATTTGTTAGGTTTCTCCACTGGAAAGTTACTCCCCCTCCTCTTTCCATACTGTAATTTTTCGGAAGGAAGTCACCTTGTGCAGCCCACACTGAAGGAGTAGAAAGTTGAGGGCAGAGTATTTCCATAAATAACTTGGAATTCTTTGGCATGGGAGACTTATATTTAATTTTTCAGGAACTGACAAGCAGTTTTCTAAACTGGTGGCACCGTTTTGTACTTGGACAAGAACGTCTGCGAGTCCACGTGCTCCTTGTCCTCACCAACATTTGCTATCATGAGTCCTTTCAGTTTTAACCATTGCAGTTGCTGTGAAGTGGTATCTCATAGTTTTAAGTTGCATTCGTGATGACTAATGATGTTGAGCACCTTTTCCGGTGCTCATTGGCCATTTCGGTATCTTTTGTGAAATATCTGTTTGAGTCTTTTTCCTAGTTTTTAAATTGGTTTGTTTGTCTTTTTATTGTTGAGAAGTTATTTGTATATTCTGGATAAAGGTTCTTTGTTCAGTATATGCATGAAGTATTTTCTCCTAGTCTATGACTTGCTTATTGAATTTTCTCAATGATGTGTTTAAAAAATTTTTTTAAAACATTGAAGTGTAGTGAGTTTACAATGTTGTGTTAATTTCTGTGTACAGTATAGTAATTGAGTTATACATATATGTGTGTATATATATATTCCTTTTCATATTCTTTTTCATTATAGACTATTATAAAGTGCTGAATATAGTTCCCTGTGCTATACAGTGGGACCTTGTTGTTTCTTTTTTGTATATTGTAGTTAGTATCTGCAAATCCTGAGCTCGCAATTTATCTCCACTTTCCCCTTTACCCCTGGTAACCACAAGTTCATTTTTTATGTCTGTAAGTCTGTTTCTGTTTTATAAATAAGTTCATTTGTGTTTTTTTTTAAATATTCCACATAAAAGTGATACTATATGGTATTTTTCTTTCTCTTTCTGGCCTATTTCACTTAGAATGATGATCTCCAGGTCCATCCATGTTGCTGCAAATGGCATTATTTTATTAATTTTTTATGACTGAGTATATGTATATATATACATACACATACACTACAATAAGGATGTCTTTTGATGAGCTGGATTTAAGAATTTAATGAGGAGGTTTTGGGTCCAGTGTTGGTTAGTGGACCCCCACCCATTCTATGTCTGATGCTACTAGTTTTTAGTTATGAAGGTTAGTAGTGTCCTAGGAAGCATAAGGATTATAGCCACACTGTCTTTTCAAGGCATCTGATGTTGCATTAAAAGAAAACTTCCAAAGGAACGTTCGAGACTTCCTCATAGTAACAATAATTGTGTTGCTGAGTGTGGAGATTCCAGATATATTAGGTTTCTTTGAGTAGCAACTGTCAGGACACAGAAGGAGCCCATGTAAGAAGACCGTGTCCTGTCCTTTGCCAATTAAGCATTCTCATTTTCCAGAAAGCTTTGGCGTGATCACGAACGGCACAGTGCACGAGAGGGCAGGCACCACATGCTGCTCAAGTCAGGTCCTCCAGACACGGCGGAACCAGCAGCACAGCAGCTGCTGCCAGCGTTTTCCCCATGATTTGAGGACTTGGGGAAAGTCATCAAATTTTAAAAGAATTCTGCACCCTGAGGACAGCGTGCAGAGTTCTTTTGCAAATTAATGGAAAAAGGAGAGAAGCAGAAGCCAGACTCTTCTTGGAGAGGAAGAAATAATTCCTCTTAAGAAAAAGGGCATCCAGTTGTAGCAACATGGCTGGACCGAGAGATTATCACACTGAGTAAAGTAAGTCAGAGAAAGAAATATATTATATCACTGATATGTGGAGTCTAAAAAAATGACACAAATGACCTTATTTACAAAACAGAAGCAGACTCATAGACATAGAAAATAAACTTATGCTTACCAAAGGGGAAAAAGAGGGGAGGGATAAACTGGGAGTTTGGGATTTGCAGATACACACTACTATATATAAAATAGGTAAACAACAAGATCCTACTGTATAGTATCTCGTAATGACCTGTAATGAAAAAGAATATGAAAAATAATATATATGCATAACTGAATCACTGTGCTGTGCAGCAAAAACTAATACAACATTGTAAATTAACTTGTACTTCAATAAAAAAAAGAAAAAGGGCACCATGTGTTATTAAATATTGACTCATAACATAGGTCTGGGGAGATACTTTCAAGCTTCTTGGAATACCAGCAATAAAGAACGACCTTTTCTGTATTAGAGTTCATGTGTGAACTCATTTCCCAGCCAACTCTGACATCAGCTGCCTGAAATGACGCTTGGCTCTAACACTGATAACCATTAGCTCCAATCTTTTATATTTACTTTTATATTTGCGATAAGATTTGATTTTAATAATAATCAGAGTTCTCAGGTTGAGAAGCCAGTGCAGTCTCTAATTTGCAGTAAATAAACACTGGCTCCTTGGTTCATTTATGTCAGTTCTTAATTATTTAGGGTAATAATTGTAATATTTAACTTTGGAGAAGAGTACACGGAGGATCATTGTGAACCTATTCTTTAGTACCAATACTGTTTGAAACTGAAAAAAGACATCTTTATTTTCATGCACCTACTGTGATTTCTGCCCAGTAATGGCCCTGAGCGCCTTCATTTTCGTGGATTCCACTTACATTCTAGAATTCTCCATTTGTCTAGTTACCACGATCCTTTAAAATTCAGAAAAAGTAAGAATGGCTGAAGGAGGAAAGGCTTAATGGACTGTATAGCTCAGAGTCCGAACTCCCTTATTTGTGAAGAGGAGGAAATATGGGAACTTGAAATTGAGAACACTTGCGGGTTGCTGGCGTTCCTCAGCACAATGCAAAGCTTTCTAAAAAGGGGGGGGGGGAGTCTGTACATTAAAAACAGGGTTCTGACTTCTTTAAAAAAAAAGTTTCCTCTAGGAAAAGAATATGAATTTTTTTTATTCGGACAAAACATCTAAAGCTAGTTGTCTCCTTTTTCTAACTGCCTCTTTCTTGCCGTTTCAGGTGAACCTCTTTGTGCTGCTCTCTGTGGTGTGTGTCCTCCTGAATTTAGCCGGATTTATCCTAGGCTGCCAGGGGGCCCAGTTTGTGTCCAGTGTGCCCAGGTGTGATCTGGTAAGCGGTCCTAAGACATGACTGTGCGCCTGATCTGATCCTGCCCGGCTTTCCTGGGTGCCACCGTGGTCCTGGTACCTACCACCCAGGACCAGGCAACGGCCCGAAGTGAAACCTGAAGTTGGTAAAAGGAAGCAGGAAAACAAAACAAAGAACTGCCTGCTAATTATTTTATACAGATGGTCAATGATTTTTCCCAAAGCAGTGACCAACCAGCAGAACCCCAGCACCACAGTAATATAATGCATGATTGGTTAGTAACTAGGTGGGTCAGTTGTCCACAATCAATACCTATTTGCTCTCATCTAAAGAGAAAAAATGGATGTTATCAGAATTCAGGGCAGCAATCCTTTGTCCAAAACCTTTGGCGGCCAGGTGTGTTTCAGCATTCAGAGTTTTCCCCAGTTTTTAAAAGATAAATGTGATACATGTAGTATTTATTCTGTAGCACCCCAGCGGAGTCTGGGACAGCAGGCTGTAATCAGAACTTCCAATTTCCAGAGCTTTTTGGATTTCAGAATTGTGGATAAGAGGTTGTGGATCTGTACGATCTCAATTTTTTTTTAATTTTTAATTGTGGTAAAATACATGTAGCATAAAATTTACCATCTTAACTGCTCAGTAGTGTTAAATACAGTCACAGTGTTCTGCAGCCAATCTCTAGAACTCTTTTCATCTTGCAAAGCTGACACGCTATACATATTAAACACTGACCACGCATCCTCTCCCCTCTGGCCTCTGGCAACCATGCTTCTGACACTGTGAATTTGACTACTCTGGTTACCTGATATAAGTAGAATCATTACAGTATTTGTCTTTTTGTGGTTACTTATTTCACTTAGCATGGTGTCCTCAACATGTCCACATGTTGTATTATGTGTCAGAATTTCTTCCCTTTTTAAGGCTGAATACTATTCCACTGTCTATAGAGGGCACATTTTGTTTACTCTTTATCCATTGAAGGATGCTTGGGTTCTTTCCATCTTTGGGCCACTGTGAATAATGCTGCCATGGAAACGGGTCACTTCTGTGGAGTAAAAGCCCAGAATTGGAATTGCTGGCTGCCCCTGAACTTTTCAAGAAGACTTCTCAATAACAAATATCTCCCTGTGGACCAAAGCAGAAGAAATGGACTTGTCAGAAGCTGTAGTAGATCTCATCTGTCTGGAACCTGGTTCCATGGCCGTCTCACCCTTTCCAAACCAGCAGGTGAAGAGCCACCACATTTCTCCAGATGCTGTGATAAAAGTTCTTGCAGTGAAACTCATGTCCTTCCCAAATGGGAAAACGCCTTAGAGACTCACTAAAAACCTGTTGCTCTTTCTTAACGGCTCTACAGTTTTTTTGACTTTTGTCATTCCATTGCTTAATAACCTTCAGGTTTGGAAGCACAGGCTCACAGCCTTTTCTGGTTTTTAATGTCCTCTATAATTTGCCCTTGTGCTGCGCTCTCACTGTGGCAGCTCCCACTCCCTGAAACTGAGCCCACACCACATGTCATCACCCAGCCTCCTGCCCTGCTTCCCTGTCTCCGACAAGGCTGTCTCTCCCTGCATAGTTCCCTGCCCCTTACTTCCCTGTTCATCCAAATACTGTCAGTCTGTTAAAGCCTCATTCCACGATGATCTTAAGGAAATGTCCCTGATCCCCAGAGAAGATAATCTGCAAGAATTCCTGTCTGTCCGTCTCTTCAGCATCTCTCCTTTTCTGTTTTGGGGCTAAAGATATCCATACACCTGCCCGCTCTCTCCTGCTGGTCTGGAATCTCCCTGAGGACAGTGTCTGGCTCTCTGTTCTCTTGGGAGTGTTCAACAGCATCTCCCACACACTTCTTTACATACACAGAGTTCCCAGAAAAAAGTTTTGAACAAAGCTTGATCTTCCTGTTACTAATCACACAGCAAATTGGAAGGGGCAAAGAGAATAGACACAGGCTAGAAGCAAAAAATCATAATATATTGAAAGATGGTTTGGCAAATTTGTAGCATCTATTAATCTGCAAGACACTGGGCTAGAGACTGCAGAGAGTAGAAAGAAAAGTCAGACATCGTTTCTGACCTTGAAGTTTATCACATAGCAAGAGGAGTGGGATAACCATGGCAAGTGCTTGATGGGTGTGGAGAGAATGAATAAATGCCAGACTGCAAAGCAAGGGAGACTGAGATCGGCTGTCAGAGTGAGACATGTTGCTCAGGGTTTGTAAAGGAAGAAGGGCTTGTATCGATGGGAAGATGAAGAAAGGATACTTGGAACATAGGTATTTGAGATGAATAAATAAAGGGAATGGGTAGAAGCCGTAAGAGGAGAGGATTCTAGGGGCATTGGTAGAAGTTTGTCCTAGTGTTTAGATCATGGGTTGTTCTGAAGCAAACAAGCCAGACTGCAAGGGGGAAGGGTTTAAATGTTTGATCTGTCTGAGAAAGATAGCTAACATTTCCATAATGATGGCCATTCTGACTGGTGTGAGGTGATACGTCATTGTAGTTTGGATTTGCATTTCTCTGATAATTAGCGATATTGAACATCTTTGCATGTGTCTATTGGTCATCTGTATGTCTTCATTGGAGAAATATCTGTTTAGGTCTTCTGCCCGTTTTTCAATTGGGTTGTATTTATTTATTTGTTTGTTATTGAGTTGTGTGAACTGTTTGAATATTTTGGAAATTAAGTCCTTGTCAGTCGCATCATTTGCAAATATTTTCTCCCATTCTATAGGTTGTCTTTTCATTTTGTTCATAGTTTCCTTTGCTGTGCAAAAGCTTATAAGTTTAATTAGGTCTCATTTGTATCTCTTGCCTTTATTTCTATTGCTTTGGGAGACTGACATAGGAGAACATTACTACAATTTATGTTAGAGAATGTTTTGCCTGTGTTCTGTTCTAGGAAGTTTATAGTGTCTTGTCTTTTGTTTAAGTTCTTAAGCCATTTTAAGTTTATTTTTGTGTATGGTGTGAGGGAGTGTTCCAACTTCACTGATTTACATGCTGCTGTCCAGCTTTCCCAACACCATTTGCTGAAGAGACTGTCTTTACTCCATTGTATATTCTTGCCTCCTTTGTTGAAGATTAATTGACCGTAAGTCTGTGGGTTTATTTCTGGGCTCTCTGTTCTGTTCTGTTGATCATATGTCTGTTTTTGTGCTAATACCATGCTGTTTTGATTACTGTAGCTCTGTAGTATTGTCTGAAGGCTGGGAGGGTATGCCTCCAGCTTCATTCTTTTTCTTCCGTATTGTTTTGGCAATTCTGGGTCTTTTATGATTCCATATGCATTTTAGATTTGTTCTAGTTCTGTGAAGAATGTCCTGGGTAATTTGATAAGGATCACATTAAATCTGTAGATTGCTTTGGGTAGTATGGCCATTTTAACCATATTAATTCTTCCAACCCAAGAGCATGGGATATCTTTCCATTCATGACTTATTTTCCAAAAATGGGATGTATTGTACTCACTTCCCTGCATATTGTTTTTCTCACTTAAAGATATATTAGGTATAGCTCTAACGCCCTTTTTTCCCTTTGAACAGATCAGTTCTCTGTTTTCTTGTGTCTATTGTGGTTTGGGTTTTGGCCAATGGAAGCAATGCTGCTATGAATACCATTCTGCATATCCATCCCCATGGGGGCTGTGATCCAAGCGGGGCAGGCTCCCAGGACAGGGATTGTTCTTCTGTATGTCTCTTTCTTTTTATTACACGTTCAACCATCTGATGATTCTATCCATTTTTTTAAAAACTGAGATAAAATATACAAACAATTGAATGCCCATATCTCGAGTGTGCAGTTCATTGAGTTTTGACCATGTGTACATTCATCATGACACTCTCATGTATACACCCAAACAAGATCTAGAACATTTTCATCACTCTAGAAAGTTCTTTGCTGTCTCCTTTCAGGCTGGTCTACTCTCTCAGAGGCAACCACGGTTCCAGTTTTTTTCACCGTAGATTAGTTTGCCTGTTCTTGAATTTCATACAGGTGGAACCATATGGTATATATCTTTTTGTGTCTGACTGATTTAGCTCAGCATGATATTTTAAAATCCACCCATGTTTTAGGGTCATATCACTTGTTTGCTCTTCTTCTTCTTCTTTTTTTAAACCAGGGCAGTATTTCATTGCATAAAAATGCTACAGTTTGTTTGATCAGTTCTTCTGTTGATGGACATTTGGGTTCTTTTCAGTTTGGGAGTATTATGAACAAAGCTGTTGTGAACATTTTTATATAGTTTCTGTGTGTGTGTGTGTGTACCTGTTTTTATTTCTCTTAAGTAAATACATAGATAAGCATCATTGTGGTAAAAGTATGTTTAACTTTATAAGAAACTGCTAAATGGTTTTCCAAAGTGGTTGGGGAATAAGTAAATTTAATTTCAAATGTATGGACAGATCCTTTGTTAAAGGGCTTTAACTCGCATTTCTACCAGTAACTCTCTGCCACCAGTAAGTGTTATTCTTTTTAATTTTTTGCCAGTCTGATGGGGCTAAATCGAGATCTCATTCTTACTTTAATTTTTGGTTCCCAAATTACTAAAGATGGCATCGTCGTATTTTGGGAAAGCTTCCCTGAAGAGTCTAATGTGCAGCTAGGGTGGAGAGCCACAGCGTTGGTGGCTGATGGGAGGAAGGAGAGGGTCTGACAGTTTCAGGTAATAGTATCAAGGTGAAGGATAGGTGTTTTCCATTTAAGATTGGGGAAATTTGAACAGCTTTGTTTGCAGATGGCTAAAGAGATTGAAGAGAAATTAGAATACGTTTTCAGAAATACTGGGCAGAGTTAGGATTAAGAAGATGGGTGAAGGATCAAGAATAGGAAGAAGAAGGAACGCAGAACGCTCAGTTCCTTGAATCGTTTTGTCTGGAGCCTCAGGGCCTCCCTGTATCAGCGGGCACAGTGATTGATATTCAGTATTATTTGCATAATGATTAACTTTCAGATAGGATCCCTTGTTTAAAGGGATTAACCCTCCCTTACCTGGAAAACTTTGCCATCCCGACTGGCTCATCCCAGCGGTTCCAGGTAGCTGAGACCTCTGTGTACGTGGATGCCTGGTGTCGTGTGAATACTGCAGCCATGTGTGTGCAGCCGCAAAGGACTGATTTCTCTCTCAACTGAATGCCTTGGATCAAGAATGGACTCATGTGGGAAGGGAGCATTTTGTAAGATGACACCTAGTCTTACCTGAGGGAGGTAAAATCCTCAGGTAGGATTTTGACGCTTACACAAGTAGGAGAAAAAGAAATTGCACTGCGTCACATTGGAAAAAGCGAGCTTCTGTCCTGTTTAGGGAGAAGCGGGCCTGGTATACGTGAACAGAATGGAGACATGAGAAGAATGAATCATCTCCGTTAGCCACTTCTTTGTTACTACTAAATAATGCTGTTAGTATTAGAACAGGAAGTTCTCAGCTGGAGCCTTTAAAGGGGCAAGCCCACTGGGAGTAATATTTACCTTCTGAACTTAGCCCAGTGTATTAACTATACAAGAGGGGCCAGGACAAAGCCAGTGATCCCTGAGAGGAAAGAAGAGTTCCCACCTGCCTGCCTGGGGAACTCCTGTCTGAATGGATGTGGTAGTTTTCCTTTAGAAGGTGAGAATCTAGTACGGACCCTAGAAATGTGAGACATTGAAAATGTGAGATTCGAACACAAACAGCCTTGTGTCTGTGTGTGGGGGGTTATGGATCTACGTATGGGGACATTGCTGAGCTAACAATCTCCAAGGCAAACCAACACAAGACAGAAACCCCACGGGAGGGAACTGATAGGTTATGGGGTCCATTGAGGTAACTGTTGTTGTAATTCTTTGTATCAGAGGCAGAATTTATATCAAAATCTGGGCATCAGTGTTTAAGATAGTAAAGAGTCCCTTTCAGTATGGTTTAAAGAGAAGGAATGAAAAATGTTCTGGGATCCATGGAGTTCTGGAAGAGGCAAAGCTAATCTATGTGGGAAATCTGTCCGAACAGTAGTTGCCTTTGGGGGTGTGTGGGCAGGGTTGGATGGGGAGGAGGCATGAAGGAATTTACTCCGGTGATGGTATGTTCTGTCTGTTGATACAGGTCTGAGGTACACAGACATACACATAGCTCAAAAATGGTATGCTTGTGATTTGTGTATGTAAATTTCATCTCAAAAGAAAAGGAAAACCAAACCAGAAAATGTTGTATAATTCAGTGGTACGAACTTTTCCCCTCGGCTTCCTAGTTACCTTGTATTAGAAGGAACTAAGTCTTCTCCTAATTTGAAAAAATTCCATGAAATTTATCACTATGACTAAAGGGTAAGAATCTTAATTCAATAAGAATAAAGTCTCTTTTGTTTCTGTTAAGTAACTAAAACATTGTAGGTGTTCAGTCATTCTTAAAGATTCCTGAAGAATTTTGCAGCTAGTGAAGTCAAAGCTGATTTTTAATTTAACAGGTATGAAAGAGGTGTGGCCTTTCCTTTTAACCAAAATAGAGAAGCCAACTTCAACAGCTCAAGCAGCAGAGCAAGTAAGAATGCACCTCTGTTCCCAAATTATGGGTCTTATACAAATGACCGATAGACACATGAAAAGATGCTCCATATTGCTAATTGTCAGAGAAATGCAAATGAAAACTACAATGAGGTATCACCTCACACCAGTCAGAATGGCCATCATTCAAAAGTCCACAAATGATAAATGCTGGAGAGGCTGTGGAGAAAAGGGAACCCTCCTACAATGTTGGTGGGAGTGTAGTTTGGTGCAGCTGTTATGGAAAACAGTCTGGAGATTCCTCAGAAGACTGAAAACAGACTTACCATGTGATCCAGCAATCCCACTCCTGGGTGTATATCCAGAGGGAAACTTAATTCAAAAAAATGCATGCACCCCAGTGTTCATAGCAGCACTATTTACAATAGCCAAGACATAACCTAAGTGTCCATCAACAGACGACTGGATAAAGAAGCTGTGGTAATATTTATATAATGGAATACTACTCAGCAATAAAAATGATAAAATAATGCCATTTGCATCAACATGGATGGACCTGGAGAATGTCATTCTAAGTGAAGTAAGTCAGAAAGGCAAAGAAAAATACCATATGATATCATTTATATGTGGAATCTAAAAAAAAAGGACAAACGAACTTATTTACAAAATAGAAACAGACTCAGAGACATAGAAAACAAACATGGTTACCAGAGAGGAACAGGGTGGGAAGGGATAAATTGGGAGTTCAAGATTTTCAGATATTAACTAATATATGTAAAATAGATAAACAACAAGTTTATACTGTATAGAGGGAACTATATTGAATATCTTGTAGTAACCTATAATGAAAAAGAATATGAAAACAAATATATGTATGTTCATGTATGATAGAAGCATTGTGCTGTACACCAGAAATTGATACAACATTGTAAACTGACTACTTCAATTAAAAAAATATATATACAAACAAACAAACAAGAAGAACTATACCAAATTATGGGTCTTATTAGCCAAAATCAGATATTACATATATTTACAAGCTGATTCAGTGGAAACTTGGAAAAGTGACCCAAAGTTTGCAAAGCATCTCACTAAAAATATGTAAGATTACTCATCAGTGATGTTATCACTTCAAAAAAAAGAAAAGAAAATTTCTACTAAAATCTGTGCAAACATTGAAGATGTGAACTAAGAGATCTCATTAAGCCTACATGATTTAGGGCTACTGTTCACCAAACAGTCCTTGTGGTTCTTACGGCACATGGTAGACTGAACTTCCTTGCCTTCTTGGAGTTAGCTAGAACCATAGTATTTGCTTTGGAAAGAAAATTGAGCTCACGTGATGAGTGTCACATCCAAGAGGAAGACTGAAGCTAGGGTAACCAGATTTAGCAAATGAAAACCCAGGATAGCCAGTTAAATTTGAATTTCAAATAAACAGCTAATAGCTTTTTACTATGAACATGTCTCATGCCATGTTTGGGATATACTGGTGCTAAGGAATGATCTGTTGTTTATCTGAATTCAAATTTAACTAAGCATCCTGCCTTTTATCTGGCAGCCCTGCTTTAAGTGCCAATGTGCAATTCATCATATGCTCTCCATCTCACTAGCATAGGGATCATCAATCCTGAGATACCGATGCTTCATCGACCTCGGTCCCTAAGGGAATATGATGAGCAGAGCCCTCTGCTGACCTGCAGTGGGCATGTGGCACAGTGAGGAAGTAATATTGGTTGGTTAAGCCACTGAAATGTTGGGGCTGGCTGTTACCTGTCCTGACTGATGCAGACATTGCCTGACACTGAACCCTGCCATATCTCATTCTGTAGGATTGGTGCTCCGTGGTGTGGACTGTGTATTTTAACTTAATAATTAAATTATTGTTCTGCCTTTTCCCCCTTAAGGTGGACTTAGGTGAAGGCAAGATTTGCTTCTGTTGTGAAGAATTTCAACCAGCCAAATGCACAGACAAAGAAAATGCCTTGAAACTCTTCCCAGTTCAGCCTTGTAGTGCTGTTCACCTTCTACTTAAGGTATCTCGACTGGATTCTTTCCCTCACCAGCAAATGCACCACAGAGACCCCAAAGGAGGCAGAGCTACTTGAAATATTCCTCCTCTGGTACCTCTTTCAAATAATGCTGCTCGGAGCAGATATGAGCAACCCCTCATCAGGAACCTAAAGGCAGAATTGAGAGCAGAAGGAGCTGCCGATTATTGTGTCTCTTAAGTTATGAATGGATGGCTCTCTGTGTTCAAAACTATAAGCTAGTAAAAAATGTAAGGGGCCTAAATATATACACATGTATATTTTTATGTATATAAATATACAGGCACACATATACACACACACTCATCATGTAGCTACACTTATATGAGGTATAGTTTTAGCAGAATCTTTAAAGTACACGCCCATCTGTCACTGCTCTGATGCTCCTTTGTTGGCTTCAATGAGTCCTCTGGGCTGTTGAGTGCTGCTGTCCTAAGACACACAGACAAAGGCGATGTATTGGCCAGAAGATACAAGGGAAGTTCAAGACATTACCTCTTGTTGAACAGGCTGCAACTATAATAAGCAAAAGAGATGAAAAACAAATGATACCAGCTGAAGAGAAATACAGAATTAACCTTTATTTAGGAATTGGATAAAAACTGTGTCCTGACTTAAGGTCTGTGAGCCCAGTGAATGACACGGTCAGTTGGTGAACCCTGGGATATTAGCTTTTGGATGGTCCACCACCGATGGCTTTCTTTAGGTCTTTGTTTTGGGTTTATTTTTTGTGGGAAGGAGGAATCTCTGAGCAGAGAGGGAGAAGCTGCAGCTCTTCGGCTCACAGAGGATGTGAAAATGGTCTTCTTTCTTTGGCTTCTGGATTTTTGGCAGCTCAATCACCCCCAAACTTTTTGAGCCAAGACTTTGCTTGGGGAAAGCCCCGCTAAGGAGCCAGGACTTTGGCAACAAACTTTTGGGACTGGCTTTGCTATTTTGAGATGTGTTTAGAGGAGAGAAGCCCTGTTTGCACTCGGGCTGCCTGCCCCCTGTGTTGCCCTGGTTTGGTGCTGGGGGCAGCTCTGCCAACTGCTCTCGAAATAGAATCAGTGGCCACAAATTAAGCAGGGAGCTGTCCTGGTGGGAGGCTGTTTTAGTGGGCGGTGGGGGAAGGTTGGAAATCTCTATCACTGGGGACACCAACTTCAGAAGAGAAACTCACTGCTCTTTTGGAAGGAACACTTCCAGACAGGATTCTGATGCTTGCAAAAGGAAATCTGGTAATACCAGGTCTGTCTGGGACAGGAAGCTTCTAGGCTAAGTTTTTAAAGTTAAGACGTACACAGTATTGCGTGAGGGTCTGAGTAACAACCAGCACTTGTTTGACACCTAGCACGAGCCAAGCATCATCTAAGTCCTTTACGTGCATTTTCTCAGGAGAATTGTCTTACTGGGACAGTAGTAGTACTATTTTTAAAAGTCTTTATGTTGCATTCTGATCATCAGCTTTGAGGTACTCAGGGGCGTCATTGTTTCCTGGTTCCAGAAAGTCCTGTTCGCCCTGTGTGCCTTGAACGCTCTGACGACCACCGTCTGCTTGGTGGCCGCCGCCCTTCGCTACCTCCAGATCTTCGCAGCCAGAAGATCCTGCAACGTAAGTCCACGCGAGGTGGCCGTGCAAATGCGTCTCCGCCGCACCTGGCCGCGGAACTTCTTGTGTAACCCGTTGCTTTTCTCCCCGAGCCTTTGTAGCGAAGGCTGTTGACTAACCAGAATGCTGTCTGATTAGGACGAATCCCAGATTTCTGCAGAAGAAGTGGAGGAACACAGACGCATCCCAGACCCCGATGACTTTGTGCCGCCAGTGCCTCCCCCTTCCTATTTCGCCACGTTTTACTCGTGCACGCCGCGGATGAACCGCAGGTACCGCCCTCAAGTGCCCCCCGCCGTCCTCTTTGGGGTGCTCTCCGTTTTGAAGACTGCGCGGTCTTCAGAACTCACAGCACGAGCTCTGACTTCTCTCCAAAATCTAGACATTGTGTTATTTGCAGGATTTTCTCTTTTCTCTTTCTCTCTTTTTTGTCTGACAAATTGCAAGAAACCAAAGAAAAGTCAAACCTTGACCTAAGGATATAGTTTTTCAACTCCAATGAGCTTCCTAGGAAAACTGACACCCAGAGAGATAACTGCTGTAATTTGACATGACTGAGGACTGCTGTTGCCCTGGAAACGCTCTCAGTTGGGCCAAATCGATATTCATTGTAACACCATCAGCAGGTCTTCAAATCATGCAATTCTTCCCAGCCATTAAAAAAAGATTAATTATTAATTACATCTCCTTGGTCTAGGAAAAAAAATTAGACACTAGGGTTATTTTCCTTTTCAAATTCTAGTTCAGAACTTAATCGTCTCTTTCTTAATCTCAGAAATTATTATTTGTAGAATGAAATGCCTCATGCATTTGTCCGGTTTTAAGCCACTTCTAGAATTGTACCTTTCTAAAGAATGACTTCATTTATTTATTCAACAAACATGTAATACATCTTCTGCTGCTTATTAGTCACTATGCAGGGTTATTGAAATTCAAAATACCCACTTCCTTCTGTTATCAAGGAGCTCACAATCTAAATTATTAAAAATGAGTATTGGAAGAGTCCCAGTAGTACTCAAAAGGGAGGTTGTGAGGGCATGGAGGAGGACTGCCTAACCTAGAACGGTGAGTGGGCAGGAAGCGCCAGCTGGTTAGGGTTGGCTTCCTGGACAAAGTGATACTGAGCTCAGTTTAAAGGAGAAGCAAATCTATATTTAAGCTTCCAAAAGAAAATCCCTGAATTCTACAAGAAAGAATAGTGTCTTTCATTTGCTATCAAGAGGGCCGGGAATTTCTCCTTTTTAATCCCTGAGGTACATGTGGAGAGTTGTCAAACAAATTTGGTGCCCAGTTTGGGGTTTTGGGAAATGCATTTTCTAATGCTCAGGGCAGCCACATGTGACTTTGAAACAGGTCTCCAGTGGGCGCTTCCACCCAGACACTCTTAATGTTCTTGTCAATGGGTTATCTTCCCGATAAATATCTTCCTGATATCTTCCCTAAAAGATATCTTCCCGACTTGTCCCTAAGCCCCACTCCGGGCCCTCCGCCGCCCACCCACCTTGGCGGAGGTGGAGATGACCACCAGGCCGGAGGGGGCATCAGTGGCTGGACAGCTGGTCTGAGGGACAGCTCGCCCTCCCTGTTGTACAGGGACTCATGTACTGGAATTTCAAAGCTTCAGGGGCCAGGATAGCTTCTCTAGTCTTTCAGGAAAGGACCCAAGAATTATAGAGGCCAGAGTGTCATGGCAACAAAGTGCATGTTCTCTGTGTACCGCAGGACACTTCTGCTAAAACCTTCGCCCAGTCTCAGGCTGCCTGCAGAGGGCACATTGGAGGACAGTAAAATGCCTGTTACTTCATGGCTGGGAATAGAAATGCCCTCTTCGGGAAGGATTCCTTGGCTCTCTGAGGTTGTGGGTGAGCACTTGGTTGACCTAAGAGAAGGCAACAGACAGATTTAATTTCCCACAGTGGCAGAAAGGGAAAGTGACTCGTGTGGGTGTAGAAGTCCTGCTGTCCTGTGGGACTCCCTGCCTTCTTCTCTCTTGCCTTCCTCTTCTCTGTGCTCTAAAGTCATGCTTCTCAGTGTGGGGCTTTGAGGATCTGGGTGCATCCCTGGATTTGTCCCTGAGTCTTGAGCCAGGCCCTGGCCAAATCCAAGTTGGGAGAAGGTGGACAAGCTTCTCATCAAGGGCTTTTACCCAACAGAAATTCCAGAAGGAGTGTGGGGGAGGGGGCAGAGCAGAGCCCCCGTGAGAGAAAAATAATGCTCAGCCTAAAATATATACCTGAAGCCCTAGCTCATAGCTCCAGTGGGCGACTACCCTCGTCTTCTGAGATTCTGCCAGTATCCCAGTGCAGCCCACTTTTTTTTTTAACCTTTTATGTATATTGTTTTCATCGAAGTATAATTGATTTACAATATTATATTAGTTTCAGGGGTACAACATAGTCAGTATTTTTATAGCTTATACTCCATTTAAAGTTACTACAAAACAATGGCTCTGTTTCCCTGGGCTGTACAACATCTTGTTGCTCGTCTGGGTTTTGATGTAGTTTATATCTCTTAATCCCATACCCCTATCTTTCTGCTCCTCTTGCCCACTTTTTCTTAAAATGGCTAAATTTATTAACCTTTAGATACAAACTCTATCACAGTTTTTAAAAAACTTGACCAGCTTTGCTAAATTCTCAGTGTAAATCAACTTCATGGTAATTTTCTTTCTTATAAGCAGGCAGGCAAGAATATGAACAGATGTTTTCATTAATACTTCCACAACCAGTTATGTGAAGAGTTTTCATGCAATAGAGGCTCCCTGTTTCCTGTAAGGTATTATGACCTCTCAGAAGAGGTTTATTTATTTGACTTCTATAAATACAGCCATTTCGTGCATTGGTATCTCCTTGGGAGAGGACTTCTCAAGTTTCTGTATAAACAGGAGGCTGACTGCAGTGAAGGCTTCTGTCCAAAGATGGTGATATACTTTGGGAATCGATTTGTAGGTGCTGTGTACCCATCTCCACTACTCCAGGGAGTGCCCCAGTCTCAGACATTGGCTTGAGCCCGGAGTCAGGAAGGAGAGTCTCCAGCCTGTTTTGTGAATGTGGATCTGGTTGTACAGTGGGATGTTGCCTGCTGTGGAAGACTGGAGATGAGGGCATGGGAGCCAGGCTGACATGGGCATTTCCCAAAGGTGAAGACAATGAAGTCTGCCCATTTCCTTTCCCATTGAACTTCAGAATCCAAACTCAGGTGGAGCTGGGCTATGCTAGAGTTCGACTGTGCTGGGGCGCCCTGCCTCACTCCGCCTTCCCGCAACCCTACCAACACGTGCCCCGTGGAAGGGCGCAGTTTCCCTGGCACACAGAGGAGGGCCATTCTTTGGTCAAGCATGTGAGTTGCTGTAGCAGCCTCAGATCCAGCACCTATTTGTAGCATCCAAGCAGAACCTACTTTGCACGATCTGTTTGGGTTTCCTGGTCATCTTCAGAGCTCATAAGCATGAACCAGTGAAGGTTTCCGGAGGCTTTGGGATGAATTTGAAAAAGCCCAGGCTCTGGGCTCTTAAAAGGTCCACCCTGGAGTGGAGGTGGGTGGGTATAGCTCAGTGGTAGAGTGCATCAATTCCCAGTACCTCCACACACACAAAAAAGGGGGTCACCCTGGGTGGATTTCTTACCATCTCTGAGCCTTGGTTCCCTCATTCACCTGCATTGACATGTGGCTGCTGAGAGGATTATCAAGAGACAATGGGCAAAAAATCTTGCTAAAAACGAAAGCTTAGACCATGCTCCACCATTGTCAGTTGCACGATGTTCTTGGCGTGTGTCTTACTCTTAATAAACATTTAGCCTTTAACCTTACGCTGAACTTACCAGGCAAGTTTTCTAACGACACTCATTCTTGTAAAGGCCTCATCACCTTTCCCAGATACAGCAGGGTTTTCATTTCAGCCACCATAATCCATTTCCTTTAGCAGTGGTCTCGTTCCTGGCCGTGCCCCGGAATCACCTGGGCCCCACCACAGGCAACTAGTGCAGGATTTCTAGAGGGGAGGCCTGGGCCATGCCCAGTTCGGGAACCCTCCTGGGTGATGATTCTGCTCTGTAGCTGGGGTTGAACACTGCAAGGGATCAGGAACAAAACCTACCAGGGGAGAGCAGACCCATCTCCCTCTGTGGATCCTGATTTACCCAGAAGAGGTAAAATAAGGGAAACTTGCTTCGGAGGAAAGGAGCTTTTCTTCTGCCTCGGCTCTAGCAGCAGCTTCTGTCTCAGTTGAGGCTGTGCTGCTCATTGTAATAACCACCAGAGAAGCTGTTTGTTTTGCAGTCAGTTCAGATAAAACGTGCCCCTCTTCCACCCAGTTTTCCTCCTTAAAGAGATGCTGGAGTAATTCAGGATCTAAAATGGAGCCTGGTTCTCTGACTTCTTGGTCCTAAGCAAGCCCTCTTGTCTCTAGGAACACACAGGCAGCCACCGGGCTAGGACTGTGAAACCAAGGGCACCGGAGTTAACAAAGCTGGGGTGAATTTTCCAGGCAAGGACACCACAGTGAAGAAATGCGTGGGGCCTTGGCTGAGGGGGGACAGTCTGGGGTTTGTGAGTGCTGGAAAGATACTCACGGGTTAGGCTAATCAAGGATTGATGACTAGCCCTCTGGAGAGGACGGGAGGAGTCCATAGGTCTCATTGATTAAAACCAGTCACCTTGTTCATTGGTCAGGAAAGAGCCTTCAGTCAGGTCCAGGAAGAGTCTGGATTCCTGAAGTCACTCGGTATCTGTAGCTCTTAAAATGGCTTTGGCTGGAATAGAGTTGATGTGAAACCCGTGAGCAAGTCCCTCTCTGAGGGGAGAATACTGCTTTCTTGATGACTGTACCAGGACCCCTCCCCAGGGAGGGACGGTTCCCGCAGGTGCCTCTCCTCACACGCGCTCTGTGTTATGCGCTGAGCCCAGCCGCATCCCTGCCTTGGGTGTCAACACGTGACTTCTTCCCTCTCAGGTCATGCAGGGATGAGAGTCTTCCTTCTAAACAGAGACACAGGAAATAAAGGGAGTGCTGTCTCGTTTTTTTCAATTCAGGCTGCAGAAGTCTCATTCTTCTAAGTCCCAGAATTCCAGTTTT